ACGAGATACGCTTTTTAGGTCAAAAAACTGAAGCATCTTATGGGAATAACTCATCGTTGGCGATGGAATTAGGAAAATTCGCCTGTTTGCGGAAAAATATGAGTTCCAAAAGTAGGGGAAACAGAGGCTCTAGAGGTCTGAGCTTTATAACGCTTTGACTAGGCCGTTTTCCGACCTGACAGCGCCACAGGTGGTATACGAGGGGGCCTATCCGAGAGGGATATCTCGTAAGCCACTTTTATCGTAAGCTGCGCCCTTAAGCCCCAAATTTCGATGTCGAGTCTATGCATTCATAAATACTTTGACGCTCATTCTCCTTTTTGGGCTGTCTTGCCCAAAAAACGGCCTAGATAGGGCGTCATAAGGGCTCCAGAACTAGCTCGGTGAAATAACATGAAAGACACCCAGTCGGGCATTTTGTGTAACCCCTTTTCCTGCTACATTTCTGAAGCCTTATACATATTTTTCAAAATCCAACAACTTTTGAGCTTTCTTTACTACCCTTGCACTATTCTGCACATCACTTCCATTATTTCTCTTGAAATAGATACCACAAAACTATCGTGAAATGTGCCTTTGCATCGTTTCTTTAATTTTTGCATTTTACCAAACGAAACATATGCTAACTTATAAAAAGTCAAGAAAGTGCACAGCTACTATCTTCAATATAAACATTCGATTTTATTCTCTTCGAATGAATTCACAGTCACATTTACTAATTTGAATAAATGTCATTTAGTGGCCATGCTCCAAAGACGTCGTGGACCTGAACAGCCTGTGCGAGAATCTTCGATACCCAACTCGTCAATGGGAGGTGTGAAAAGCCTGTTAGTGTTTTTTCTTTCATACAATTTTTGGTCATGCTCATGCCCAAAATCTACAGACGGCCAAGGTAGAATTCAGCTACTGTAATACTTTGGAGAATCCTTTACAGAAAACTAATGCTTACAGTTTGGGGGACGGAACAGCCACCCATTTTTGGATGGCGGCGGCAGACTGCGCGGCGAAATTGGTTGTGATTTAAAGAACTCCAGCGCCTATCACGGGGCTCAAATTTGAAGTGAAGTAGATAAGCAGATCAGCTGGCCCTAGTTATCCAAACTACTTTAAGCCTATGCCCCAACGATAGGCGCCAGAGTCGTTTATCACCACGAATTTCGCCGCGCGGTTTGCGCGTCCATCCAGAATTGGATGAATGTACCCATACCCTTTACAGCTCTGTTGCACAGTATATAACAGTTGCAAATTGGTGGCTACCAGATAGTACGGGAGTCGACAAAACGCAAGAAATAGCACACAACCTCAACGTAATATATTACCCTAAAGTTCCTTAGATAAGAGCGGTTTCATCTACCGGTGAAAAATGAATTGGAAAAAAATTGAAATTGAATGCAGTCACCCCTCTAACTTGATGGATGGATGAAAAAAAATCGGAGATTTTAATGGATCGCTGTTTTTTTATATGAGTTGTTTATTAAGTGGGAGGGGTTTAGAGTTGAGGAAGCGGAGCTTCCTCAAAACTTCTCCTCCGATTTTTATTTATCCATCCATCAAGTTAGACGGGTGACTGCATTCAATTTCAATTTTTTCCAATTATCCATCCATCAAGTTAGACGGGTGACTGCATTCAATTTCAATTTTTTCCAATTCATTTTTCACCGGTAGATTAAACCGCTCTTATCTATGGAATTTTAGGGTACTCATGAAAGAAACGGTAATAATAATTGAATTGCACTAGCCATTTTTGCAAAGATTCCTCTGGCTTTTATAAAAATCAGATGAACAAACTCGTCAAATGACTCCTCCATGATCACTAACTCAAAAAAAACCTAGTTGCTTAGGGCAACTATCACTGATCCTGAACTGCAACAGTTGGCCGAATTCGAATCAATCCCACGCTTAGCTACATTGTCTGAACACATCGGCTTTGTACCACCAGACAATGTGAAGGTTCAAGTCGAATGCCATGATACCGGCATGAACGTCACCTTCCTTTTGAAAGCGCCCAATGAGGTAAGTTACACAGAGGCAGAAAATCCACTCAAAACCTCATTCATTTGCAGAAGTACACTGGCGCTGTGTATGCTGCAGAACGTTTTGAACAGTGTCGTGTGTTCGTTCGATCATCGAGCAGATTCGCCATCTTCATTCCACGACCGCAACATAACACATGGTGTAATGCTCTTGAGATAGTATGTTTTACTTGGTTCGTACCCGTCCGATCGCCTGGCTAATGTGGGCGCTCCTCCTTTTCGTGCGAAAATGACCTGTCGTTCACTTCTTTTCCAAACTTGGAGGCTCTGATACAGTATAACAGAAGGCATAAATTCGCTATCGAACGCATGCACCAACAGGCATGCTTGACGCGTTATATTAAGATTATCGCGCAATATTTCAGCTCAATAAATTGGGCTTTACAACGCAGCTCCAACACATGAGCCGAATCAAATCCAAGCTCGAGTTCCAACGTTTTCATGCTTACTTACTAGGTCTTAAAAACGCAATGTGTGTGTGTGCAACTTTCACCAACCATCGTTATAAGAATTGATTAATTTTCCTCTGATTTCCTCTGTGGCATGTACTCAATGAATATGAATGGTTTGAATCGAAACACTTCAGAATTCATGCTCGGGAGGGGTTCAACTATAAGGGAAGATGGTACAGCTCTGACGCATTATGCGGCCCTGTGTAATAGGTGGGAGCGGTTGCTCTGTACAGCATGTTGCTGGTTGAGATAACTAACTAAAATGAGATTTGTACGACTCTGACGCCAATTTTCGGGGCACAAATTCAAAGTNGAGTAGTTTAGTAGAGTCAGATAATCCTTCTAATCTACTCAACTTCAAATTTGGGCCCCAGTGATAAGCGCCAAACTCGTTCAAATCCTTACGAACTTCGCCGCGCAATCTGCCGCGCCCATCCTCGGACGCACGTTCGTACACATACCCAACTAAAATAACCAACTTATAAGTTGAAGATAGCTAGCCATCAGTCGCAGGGCGCTGTGAGCAGGCCGAAGTATTGACGACGCAGCACAAGAGGCTACGTCAACCCGTCATACCACTATGGTAATTACTAGAGGTCGTCTCATAGCTCGTCAGAGAGTCCATAAGCACTTCTTCATTCTGCAGCCAGACAATTCAAAGCAAGACTAAGTAATGTTCAAAGTGGTCAGCTTTCGTTTATCTCTAGTGAAACTATGACATTGAAATGGTCTGCTGACATTCTGCTAGTACTAGCGTACTTCCAGTTTTCTTGTAGCAGGTTTGGTACTGAACAATGACGTTTCGCTCCTACATTTTTCTAACATCGAAATTCCATCCCAGTCGTTGAACGTATGTTTTTGTTATTCAGGACAAAATCGTCTCGGCCGTCATCGTGATGTCGAACGATCGAGTCCTTCCTCACGACGTTACCACCAAAGATGACCTCTTCTTCCATGTCACATGTAACTACACTGCCGCAACTGTAAACGAAATTAGGCAAGGAGTAGTAGTCGGGTGAGATTTTCGTATTAGAAAGTTACCTGAAGACTTATGCTTTTGGTTGGGGCTTTGTGTAAAAGTAAGCTGAATAAAAATCATCTGAATTTGTCTAGAGGCCCATCACCCGTGGCAATAGCTTCCAGTGAAGTACATCGTCAAATCTCTCTACAGATCATGAGAAGAGGTCATCCAGTTGATAGCGTCTTCATAGGAGAGACATTGGTTGCCCGTGTTGAAAGCGACATTTCTCGTTAGTTACACAAACTTTACTCTCTGTTTTTCTCACTTTGCTTTCTCTGACAGTAACGGATCCGGAAAGTCCTCAGAATGAAGCATTTTCTACTTTCAGCCGATCGCCTACGTGTTATCGAGTGTACGGCCCACCGCGTCGGTGGCACAGGACCTCCAACCTCTGTGGGTTTGATCGCTGATGGGTTCGTTCTTTTTTCTTGTCAACTTGTTCCTTGTGGACAGGTGAGTTCAGCGAGCCCACCATTCGAAGGCCCAGTTCACGATAATTTTGAAGTACCTATTTCTATTCTGAAAGCGGAAATATAGGTTTGGAATAGTTCATCGGTAGTGAAGAAAGCGAGAGAATTCGCTGATTACGAGAAAAAATATGGCTCCTTAAGAGTGGGGGAAATAGAGGTTAGACGAGTTTACCATGACGGAAGTAGCATCGAAGGGTATTCGGACGAGGTTTCAGTTGTTGCAGTTGCACAAAGAGATGGCTACATGAAGCCAGAACTATGCAGAACTGCCCTTCACTGTCGCTATGGGTCATGTCAAGCTGTTAGAACTTCCTACATGTGTTCCTTTGTGATCGGTGCAGTCTCTGCAATGCCGGTTAAACTCGTCCGAGGATACACACGGTGCAATCCTTGAGACATTATAATTTCCTAACTAGACAGGTTTCAGACCTAATAGCGTCAGGTATGGTATACGAGGAGACCTCGAAATCATACTATGGGAAATCTCATAACAATTTTTATCGTGAACTATAAAAGTAATGTAGAATTTGGAAAAGCACGTGTAGGATAATTCAAGCTGATTAAGCTTGAATTTAAGCCGAAAGCTAGAAGTTGTGGCTAGTTACAACGAATCTGGTTGGTCAGGACTCTCCTCCTGACCTCTAAACGCTACGTTGAGTTATGTGTGGTTAGCAGAGAATCCGTGGAGATCTAAGCTCAGAGAGGATTCTTGCCCTAGCCTGTATGGTCCTCAAAACAGAATATTTCCTCCGGTATAACATTCTGAGATTACTAGGTATCACACATTTTGTTAGCAAAAGTTGACTACGATAGTTGCCTTCGGCTGACTTTTATGTTAGGTTAGATTTGCTGAATAAGCTCACAAGCTCTGAACATTCTCAGTTCCTGCTTTGAAATGTGTGATTGACTTTATTTTTATGGAATAAATCAGTGCATATCATACTTGTCTAAAAAAGCTGTCATTTTCAATTGTAATTTCAGATGTGCTCTTCTTCCGTCGTTGATGTCGCCTATGACCATGGGTACACACGGTTGGGAATCTTCGTTATCGGCATTCCGCATAGACGGCAGCGAGCAGATCGACGTCGTTTGCATGGTGGCTGTTTGTCCAGACGAATCATGCCCACAGGTCAGTTGCTCTATCATAAATATGCAGAGACATTGCTTGACTTGATGATTTTATCTTGACTGCCTGCTGTCTGTAGGTTCGATCAGATACTAGAGAGAATCAGATCGTTTTAAGCAGTCTTGTACATCGAACAAAGATCGACCAACCCGATCACTGGAGGATGAACATCCTGTTCGTGTAGATCGTCGCCTCATTGTCAAAGCAAGAGCTTTGCAGGATCTCGAGAAAGACGAACACGCGTTTTCAGGTTAGTCAATGTTCACTCGAGGGCACTACTTATCGAGAAATGGGGAAAAATTTGTAATAAAGTGAAAATTAAGATTCGCAATGCACAACGTGAAAATGGGTATGCGAGCATACTCAGAGTGAGCCCAACATTGGCTGAGTAGAAACCTCGTACAAGTTTTCAGCTTTGTATGAACCCTTTAGAGAAGCATTCTTACAAATTCCCATAGTTGGTCGCCCATAGTGGACGCCGTAGTCCTGAAACAACTTAGGCCTTTTCATCCTTGAGTCTCACTCCCCCACCGGCGGAGATGCAGTATACGGCTATACAGTTTTAGCCAAAAATTGCTGAGCTTGATTTCTGCAGTTTTCCTATCGACGTAGTAGTTCGAAAGTTGCTTCATGGTTGTCTAATCATATTTCACTGTTGTCTAGATTTGTAGTGACTCTTTCGTAAAATATACACCACGAAATGCAAGTAGAGAGCAGTACTTTGCAGACCAACGGTATAGCGTTTATGAGAGTGGAAAGAAAATAAAAATTGAACAACCACCAAAGCGTGACCTGTGTGGATGAAGTCCGATCGAGGCACTACTTTTTGGCGCTACTTCAGTCTTAATTTCAAACCCTTTAGATCAAGGTCTTTTGATGAGAATGGGGTGACAGTAGTGGCAACTCTTCCTGCCTTATACCCCCATCGCTGCCCACGCTTAGCTACTTTGACAAACCCACCATACTATCTTCTTTTGGCTCAATTAGTTTTTATTCGATTCAAGTATTTGAAAACTTATATGCCTACATTACATTACCTTAATTTACGTAGGAATTCATGACTAGCTTATGTTATCCGTGTATTATGTGAACCTTACCAGAGCTCTGTCTTCAACCGCCAACCTACCTCTCTGCACTTACTCTGCTAGCATTATCGCTCATAATCATGGCCACCTGCATCTGTGTGGGTGTTAAGCGACGAAGCAACTCGATGGAAGATCTCCTATCAATATCACAGTGAGTTTGTAATTCATCTCGAATTTAGTAACTTAATAGTTCCGAGGAGATAGCATCTTTCTAATAGCGCTACGATTTAGTGATGGAAAGGTGACATTAATTGGTATGTAACGCTATAGATTTTATTTTAGCGAATATCTGATGTAAAGGGGATTTGGCTTGAAGGCACAGTCACGATAAAATAGTTTCTGAGATTCCTCTAAAGCATGAATTCGAGGCTCCTTCTCGTACCATGCCTGTCGCCATAAGGGCGAAAAACGTTCTGGGTAGGGCACAATAAGGAACCAGAGATTGATCGTGTGAATGTCACATCCATAGTGAACGAGTTTCAACGGCTTTGTAGAGACTGCACCATTCATAAGGGAACCAATGTATGAAGTTCAAACAACTTGTCATGATCCATAGCGACAGTAAAGGGCAGTTCTGGACAGTTATGGTTTGATGTAGTCAGCTCTTTGCACGATGGGAGCAAGTTGAATCTCGTCCAAAAATCCCTTACATGCCAATCCTGTCGCGGTGATCTCGTACAACCTCCACTTCCACTACCTTTGAAGCCTGAAGCGTGCAAATTTTCTCGCTTTTTTCGCCACCGATGTACACCTCTACATCAACACTTCCTCTTTCCAACCTAAAAAGAGTGCCTCAAAATTATCGTGAACTAAGCCTAAATAGCAATTCAACAAAGACGAGAAATGGGAACTATTAGCTCCGGAAACCCTTAACTATCGGAAGCTGAGCATGAGGTCATGGTTTTTGGAAAAACAAAAAAGTAAATAAACAAAATATCCGCGAGAATAAAAACTACTGGGCGGACAAAAGGAGGTAAGAAATCAAATATCGAGAAAATTAGCAGAAGCGCTAAGGTGGGCTTGGCAGTAATAATTTATTTTCAGAATCTCAACGCCACCTAGAGATCTGGGCGCTAAATATATCAGAACACTGTCGGCTTGAAAAAAGCTGCACGATTCCTATTCAGAAGTGTTTTGGTTAAGAAGAAGAAACTATTTATAACTCAGTCCCTTTATTTACCGTGTTCTTTCAATGCTGATTTTTTTTTGTACCTATATGAGCATATTGTCTATTGTGATTTTTGATGATTTCAGGTTGTGATTACTCTTTTCCCAATCGATGAGCATAACATTTTTGCTATTGAATAAATATAGAGTTTTGCCAATAACTTTTACAGAAAGAAAAAAGTCAAAAAAGTTCGAAATAGCGTAGCACTAGAGATTCTCTATGCAATTTGTAAAGCTATTTCGGAAAAAAACATATCATATTTTTCATAAGTGAACTTTCACTACTGATCTAGGAGCTAGATAACAATTAGTAGGAGATCCAGTCAGCAGGGGTCTAAAAGAGAGCGGATCGGCTTGACGACCAGGTCCTTCATACTGAAATTTTACAACCAATCGATAACAATCGATATTTGCAATTCCCAAGAAAGACAGTACACCAACAATTGACTATTCTGTCGCAGTCTTCCATCTACTGTAATGCTATTTGAACACCAATGAATCTGTTTCGAAAGAATATTAGAATTCCGCATTCCATGAAAGCAAACGATGGTACAATTGTCAAGCTTTCTCGCTTCCAGGAGCAAACTTTAGGCACTGCCTGTGTCTGGCCTGTTAAGATCGCTTCGCGAAACTATTCTGAAGTTTGGAACGTAGAACAAATTTTCACTGAACATTTTTTTGAAGGCGGCAAGTCCTTCTTCGAAGAGTAGCGTGTAGCTATCACCTCTGTCACCGGTCGTTGATTTCCTCTAGCGGTCGAAGGTATCGTCTTCATTTACCCTTGTCGCGAGCCAGAGCAGTTTAGTGGATCGCCCTCACTCGAAGGAAAAGGGAGGCATAGAAGTCCTTCGTGGCGTAAGCAATGGCAATCCAAATACTCGTCCGTTGATGGACCTCAAAACTCCGGATTGTTGCGGTATAGGAAAGGAGTTAGCCCGAAAAAGTAGAAGACGTAGTAATGGGAACTTTGCAAATCCTCATCGCTGGCAAACTCTTTGTATTGCCCATCTATGCAAATTCCTCCATATTATTATGAAAATTACTGCAAAGATCTCGATCAAGCAATGCTCGCGATCTATCAAATAGAAAAATATTACTCCACAAGTGATTCTGGCTGCTCAAACAGTGGTGAATGAAAAACTGGAACAAAAGCTTTAGAGACTGCAAATTGTTCGAACACTGTCAAAAAAGAAAACGATGTTGATGTCATTATTTGAACTCAGGAAGTCAGTATAAAAAGCCAAATGGTGGCATTAGTAGCAGTCCATCATTTCGCTTTCCCTTCATCAGGTCTTCACGAGGGACTTTCTTATTTAACCTGAGTTCTTAGTAGGGTGGTCCACTATGTAGCTATCCGCTTTCTTCAAGGAACGCATCTTTGTAAACTTGATGAATAAATATCTAAACATAGCAATAACCAAAGGAATTCTATGTTGATCTGAGAATTTTTCAGATGAATTTATTCCTCATCTTCACAGTTGCTACGTCACTAGCCACGTTTCCGGTGAGATTTTTCTGGCATACAGACAATATTATACACGAGAAATGTAGAATTTTCAATAGGAAATACTGCTGATAA